TTTCATACCACGTGCAGCATGAAAAGGAAAGTATGCAATATGATCATTGATTAGAGTTGTGAAAATGTCCTCTCTTAACGTTTGGTAGAAAAATTAAATATATCTATCCAAGAGCATCCTACTTATAAACTATCTTGACTTCATAAAAAAAAATTAAATTAAATAGGCGAAAAGATATCTAGCATAATTTCTACAAGTATAAAATTATTAGAGGAGACTTGGTTTGTAGTTCCTAACTTTCCCTTTCATTTTGGATAAATATGGTAATATAACAGCCATAATCTATGTAACAGTTATAAGAATACTGACAACAATATGGGGACAAAAAGATGGTTTTGATGCCCATCAAGAAGGAGATTTAAAAAGGTATTGAAACAAATTCAATAACCTCTAAATCACTATTCTTGTGAGCAATGTCAATTCTCCATGCATGAGTGCTCATAAGATTGAAAGAAAACTAGAAAAAGTATATACCAAAAAATGTCAGTTTTTATTATAACCAACCAAGATATTTTTCCTACCATTTATGATTATTTTCATCATTACAATATAAGATGAAACATAATCGAATGTTCAAATTTAAATTACTAATACCCTAATTTGAAAATCATTTTTCATTAGTTCTCCCCATTTGAAATCAGTTCCAATCAAGATGATTAGTGGAACCTTATTTTAAAAAAGGAGGCTTTTACATCAAGAAGTTGTTCTATGAAAACTATCAATATGCCAATACATTTACCCTACAATGTATGAAAAATATTTAAGACATCGAGAACGGAAGTTTATTTTTCTTAATAAAAATTATATTGAAGGTTTATCATTTTTCTTGAGAGGAGCAGTTTAGTAAACGGAGAAATAGATGTATATGAGATTACCTATAAATACCAAGTCTTATGTTAGAGAAGAGGACTTTTGGTGAGTTTTTTTCAAGTTAGTCCAAAGAGGAGAGAAAATTCATGTCCTTGGATTTTCCCTAAATTTGAAAGGGTAGTAAACAGAAATGAATAATGAGGTCTAAGAACTTGTCAAGATTAATTTGCTTAGATCTCTTTGTGTCGAGGTCTATCCCAAATGTTCAAGTCCAAAAACAACCCAGTCCGTGTAGTTGCCCACTTATCTCAGTGTTCAGGCTATACTGTGAGTGGGTTTTGAAATTTTCTCACATCTAAAATCAATTTTAGACAACTATAAACATATCCCCGGAAGACTTCTTCTAAATTTTGCATGTGAAACCATGCCTTCAAATCAGCAACCTTACGAAAGATATTTGATATACACTACCCACTCTTACGTATTTCTACAGGTTATGGAAATTCCATTCCGCAACCTTACAAAAGATCTTTTCTTGGAAGAGCCAAGATTCACATTCCCAATTTGGTAAACAGTTTAACTCATGTTCAAGGTTGGGAACAGGCCGATCAGGGCTTTAAGGACAAGATCAGGGATGCATACGTGGCAAATAAAAGGTTTATGTAATGTTAATTTGTATGCAGTAATTTCAAGCTCTTGTTTCTAATCGAGGTGTGATTTACAATTAACAATCAAGGTATACATTATATTTGGAAAAAGTTTAATTTTCTTTGTTGGTATTTTGACATAACAAGGATTTAAACAGTGGGTATGATCATGTCTTTAGAGCTTGTCTTTTAAAAGTATTCTTGACTCTTCGAGACACCCTTGTGCCTTTCTATCAAACACCCCTAAAAAATTATTCAATGTTTAATGAATTTGGAAAATTAAACTAAACTCATTAGTCAAGGTGAACTCACAAGAATCATACTAGACTCATGAAATAATGAAGCTTAGCATAATCACAATAAACTCATCATTCATGATGAACATGATACAATCATACTAAACCCCTTGATCATAACAAACTCGCTTGAATTATATTGAACTCATCAATCAGAATAAACTCAAAAGAGTCCTAGTAAAATCATCAATCATGGTGAAACTCAAAATAATCATACTAAACTTATCAGTTACAATAAAATAGATAGAATCATACTATATTGGCTAAAGTCATGGTAAACTTGCTTGCATCTCGCTATGGTCAAAAGGTTCATCTAATTTTCGGCAATACCATCTACAAATTGCGATCGAAACTACCAAGTCAATTACCCCTTCTATCAACTTGTCAAAAAATTTGTTCATATGTACTCATCAAATTTCTAACGATTAAGGTTGTACATCTATAGTCATCTTGTCGTGCAATTTTTAAAATTTCTAACATGTAGTTTTCTTAATGCCATCTAGAGTCCTAAAAATAAAAGCTTAAAAGGCAATTTTCACACAAGAAATATCATTGGAGCAATTAATTATGTTAGCAATAGAAATTTCATGACTTTTCTCTAAAACCTTTATGTTAGCAATAGAAATTTCATGACTTTTCTCTAGAACCTTTCTCTTCATCTCTTCTCTTCTTCTTCGTTTTCATTTTTCATTCTTCTCTTTACTTTTTATTTTATAAAACCTTACAAATCCTATAAATAGGAGCATCATCCTGAAAAAACTTGAAGCCAAAATCTCACAATGTGTAATGGCATTTAACTGATACTAAAAACCAAAAGAGAAGCACTACATGAAGAATAATAAGAAAATGTATCAATATAGACAAGAAAAAAAATCAAAACATAGTCACCAACGATAACTAATCCAAGGAATTTGATGAGTACATGAGGACCTCATTTTTGGAATTCAACAATTACTTAAGGAACTTATCGTTATAATCTAAGAGATACTCATAAAACCCATCCATCATATTGAAGTTATCGAAGGACGAGCACCATTCATCTAGAATTTGAAATTAACTAATCCAAGGAATTTGATGAGTACATGAGGACTTCATCTTTGGAATTCAACAAATACTTAAGGAACTTATCGTTATAATCTAAGCGATATCATAAAACCCATCCATCATATTGAAGTTATCAAAGGACGAGCACCATTCATCTAGAATTTGAAAACATCAAAGCGAAAGTTTAACTCTTACAAAAATTGATATTGTCAAAGGGAGACTAAGCGAAAGTTTAACTCTTACAAAAATTGATATTGTTTTAACTCTTACAAAAATTGATATTTTCAAAGGGAGACGAAGGGAGACTTCAACTAGTCAATAATTTGAAGGCTTCAAACGAAGTGTTTAAACATAACAAAAATTTCAGCTCATTCAAGAGAAAGTTTAATAACTTAGGAAAATCAAAGTCAAAAAATTACATGTGCTTGTTTCATAAAAAAATATTCTTTTATTAAAAATTAAAATATAAAAAGTGGCAATGAGAAAAATTTTTAAGAAATTATATCTAAAAATATCAAAAGTTAACTTTTGTACTTGAATTTGACCAACATTAAGTTAGAAAGTAACCATATTGATAATTAAGACCAACATTGTTAACTGTACGAGCCAATGATGTCCTTGAACTTAATTGATAAAAACAAATACATATTTAGAAGTTCTAATTATTTACACTACGTAATTCCATGATTAAGTGATTGCATTAAATTTAAATTATAAAATAATATCAATCAATTGGATGATCAAGATAGCTAAAAGATGATCCAAAAACTTAGAAGATGATCAAGAAAATATTAAGGAAGCACGAGATTATACTTTAATTTCACAGAGTTATTATATTTATTAGGTTTATAAATATAAAATATTGGCTCAAGCTTTAAAAAATAAAATTTATAGATCCAAATAAACTTTTAAATTATTTACAAATATTAAGTCTATCATAAATTTTAAGAAAAATCATTAAAATTTACCCAAAGAAAATAATGACACTTAATCATGTTATTTGAAAGTAATAAATTTACATAGTTATAACTTATTTAGTACACTTAAAATTTTTAGTTTGACAAAATTTTTATGCTGAATTACTAACATATATGTGTTTCAATATAAATTATTTCTAAGTATTTGGAAGTTATTTAATATATCTTAAATTATAATAAATATATTAAAATTAGTAGCTTTACCAAATATCATCATATATTCATCTAATTATAATTTAATTTTTAATCCACCACGTTCAGTGGTTTTTCTTAGATAAAATTTGATAGGTTATATAATATGTATTCGATTAAAATTAAATTAACTATGACTTTACAATTATTAACAGTTGGTAAATGTTAAAATTTAATTATAGAACTTTGATTAGTCATTGAATTCTCTTTGACTAGCTATTTTATAACCATTTGAAGATTAGTTAAGGAAAATTTTAAATCTTTTTAGTATATTTTAAGATGTTATGGATAGGAGAAGTATTGGTAAATTAATGATGGAATGAATTTAAAATTTTTCTCTTTTAAATTCTCTTTCAAACTAAATAATTTTTTGAAATAAATCTTAAAGGCTGATCTAATTCCCTCAAAAAAATTAGGATTAAATTTTCTTATCTTTTTCTTCTAAAGCCTTCAATAATTTCATATGTTTGCTATAATACTTTTTTAACTTAGTTTTGAGGATGTTATTAGTCGTTAAGAAAATGAATAGATTGTAAGAAATTTTTCTGCACTAATAAGATTGAGATAGTAGAGCTAAGATGATGGAAATTTATGAGAGGATGTAAGCAAAGGCCGAACTTCATATAATTTTTTGTGTTAGCACATGTTAATTTTTACTTTTAGATTTTTTTTAATTACCGATAAATCAAGTTTTTAACTCTATACTCATTTAAAAAGATTTCATAATTTTCAAAAAGCACAAATTCACCTGCACTTGGTTGTGCCATACACTTCAAATAAAAGAGAAACTTATTTTCAGAATAGTGCTCAGCTAATTAAGAAAAAAATAGTCTAACATAGTTAGAGATCAAAGTGAGTTTAGCCTAAAGTCAAGTTAAATACAAAACTACTCACATTTAGCTTGAAAGTAATTTCAAAGTCTTCAGTTTGTGCCAACACTAACAAGATTTAATTCAATTTCAATTGAGAATTCGAGAATTAAGTACTAAAGGTTTCATCACAAAAAAAAAAAAGACGAAGAGAGAGAAAGATACCATGGCAAGTAAGGACTCATACAGCTGACTGTCAAAGTAGGTGTAAGAGCTGCCGCTATCGAACACCAAGTTTTGCTTATATTTCAGTTTCTGCTTGCCGACAAATACGGTGGCCAACCCCGGCGAGTAATATTTGCTGCAAGCAGAATCAGGTGAAAAGGTTAGTCAGGACAACATACAAGGAATCGACAACTAGCGAGCTTTGAAGTAAGAGAGAGAAAACTACGCTTCTGCAGTGGACATAGGCACCCAAGTGAAGCCATTAGGAGAAACAACATCGTCGCCGATGAAAAGAAAACCATGAGAATTCTTGCTGAGACAGTGTCCTACAACATTGCGGCAGACGCCGAGGTCACGGAGCTGCGAGAGGATGCCGATTTTTCCACTGCCAAGCCCCAGCACGCCGTCTGTGTTCGAGGGCCATCCCTGCTGGTCGTAGCCGCAGCCTAAGGCTAGGCTAGGATGGGAGAGAATTTTGTTGATGAGTGGGAGTGCGAAAGCGTCTGTGACCAGGACGCCGAGAGAGGAGCCACTATCCTGGTATTCGATCTTGTAGTCGCACTGGCTGGGCGTCTCGCATCTGCCCTCGTGATGCGTCGACTCGTGCATAGCTTGGCACAGTGGGGTTTCACAAGGCACCAGCCGGTTCTTCATCGGCTTGTACAGGGGATGCGGGCTCTGAAAATAAGAATTGAATCGATTACATAAAATCGGACATGTAATTTGATAGGTCTATGGATCCTGTTGATTGATGAATGCCTTGGAGCAGCTGTGGCAAGGAACGTCGCATTGGAGCCAGGTGACATCGCTCCCACTGTCGACATCGAGAAAGTAGGGCTTCGGTGGATTACCAATGTTGATAGACACATAGTAGATCCTGCGCCGGGTAACCCAAACAACTATGAGCAAACTTGTAATCGATCCCAAGAGATTTACCAAGTTGGAACAAATGCCCAGTAGATGATTGGACTTCCTACCCGAGAGGATACACGTTGCCATGCACGCGAAAAACAACGGAAGAGAAGGAAGATTGCCGACGCTCGCCGTTGACACTCCTGGTTGTCGACGCTGAGGAGGACACTGACACGGATGAGGACGTCACAGGCAAAGCCCTCGGCTTCCAGGTCGAAGTGGTGCTGATATTCCCGGTGAAGACGTCAGCGGAGCAAGAGGAGATTCCAATAACTAGGAGAACAGCAACGAGCCCGGCAAGGAACGCTAATTTACCGTTTCGTCGCTTTCCCCGCTCCATCCCCCTGGTATGCCCGAGGAGTGCGAAGCGAACACGAGGGTGAAGCGCTCTGCTTCTCTCCCTTTCGGTGTTTATATACTTAGCAGCAACGAGACGCGAAAAGCTTCCGTTAAAAAGTGCTCGCTTCGCAACGGGTTGGGGCTTCGCCGGTGGATGGGTAAGAGGCACCAGGTCCGTAGCGACGACGACCTCGTTCCCCTGAGTCTTCTCACGAAACAATAGATTAATATGAGAAATATAGGCCGAGATCAATCCCGTCATTCGTGACCGTTGGATCATTCCAGGTAGTAAGATGTCGATCTGGAGGCGGACCTTGTCGCATGACGTCGCGAATTTCCAGAAGCTCTTGGTGCTCTTGGTTTTTTTTTTTTTTAAATTAAACTTTTATATATAAAAAAGTAAAAGAACGAACTCTGGTTCAACCGAAGATGACATGAACAATATTTTAAAGAATGTCACACTTTCTGAATTAGCTTGGGAAAATAGAAAAATAATTTCACTTGAAGCCCAACATTAAATTTTAATTTTAAAGTGTCCTATTAAGCAATTGTATTCTATACGTTTACAATTATCCCAATTTTCGCCAAGTATTAGGCTTGTTCAAATGATCATTGTTGAATTTTAATTTATCTATGAATTTCACCTCAGAAATAGAGCATAAATAGGAGAGACTAAGAGAGGCAGAGAGGAGTAAACAGTAATGAATAGTAATTATTCTGAATTATTCTTGTGCATCTCACATTTTTATGGTTAATTCCAGTAAGCTTAATGATGTTAATGATATTGATATCGCGGGAGAGGAGTCATAACCATTATTGTGTCCCCTCGATGGTGCATATTGCAAATGTGATGATCTGATGCGACTCCTTTGTTCATAAAAACACTGGTGTAGAGTCTTTGGTTAAGTGTTCCACTTTCGATGATCCCTCAAAATCCTTTAGTGGGTATATCCTGCAAGTGCATCTAAGAAGTGGTAAAATTCTTCATCTGAGAATGGCTAAGCCTAATTTAAAGAAGAAGAGGAAGGCTATCATTACGTAAGAAGTGGATGATCATCCCGGAGTTCTTGATCGGGATGGAACTAAAAATCCTTCTGATATGGTGGATTATGACATGTTGGCATACCTCAAAAAGTTGCTCATGTCTTTGAGCACCTATGACACAATCCCCTTATCTTTGAGCAATGAGAGATTTTGGTGAGAGCACTTCTAGAGCCTAAAATATCCTACGCTAATTATACGGAGGAGAAGATGAATCGTAAGGAGTAGTTTATTGTCATCTTTTCTGAAGAAGGCTTATTATTAGGCACTACAGATCATAATTGTGCATTACATGTGACGATTATGATCTACAAGATACCCTTGAACCATATCTTTGTCTATTGTGGCGCTTCAGTGAACATAATTTGCATATGTTCCTGACCAGGCCCGCTGTTACGCAATTATTTTATTTCAGAAATATGACCAAAATCTTGACACAATTTATATTTAGCGGCTAGTGTGCAAAAATTAAATATTATATAGAGATGATAATAATGATTTATATTCTAGCAGCACTACGCAAGATATAAGTTTTTCTTTAAAAATCTCTGTATCGATCCTACGGGGAAAAACCAAAATTCTTATAAAATTGACTTTAATAAAACCTGCTATTGACTACAGAAAATTTATATAGAAAATGATCGCAAGTTTTTGAGAAATATCTAATCCTATAGTATTAAAGGAATGCAAGTATGTTATGCAAATGCTAAATGTAAATGCAAAACTATTTAAAAAGGGTTTTAAAATGCAAAGTTACGTTTTCTCTAAACTAATAATGTATGAAGTGTTAATGAAGTGTTCAAATTTGTATAAAACATACTTTCCCTTGTAATGAGTTTATAATTATAGCAGGAAAATAATTTTAAAATATAACTAAGGTATTATGTCAAATAGGAGAAATTATATTCTATGCCCTCAGTCAAGTGAATAAAGAACATTGACTAATCTAGTGTTTGGTCCCTAAACCCGTGGTTAGGCTGGAAAGACACTACCTTTCACTCTAGAGTTTCCACTTTCCCTCCTCGGGAGGCTAAAATCTAGCATTAGTTTCCAAATATCTTGACCAAATTGGGGATTTTAGTTTGTCACCAAAAAATCTCCAATTCTACGCTCATCAAAACTTATTTCTCTATTTATTTGCACTTAACCTCAAGGACTACATTCTCATCCATGAGACTAAATGTGATTCTTACTATGTTGAAACATAGCCCATTTCGGGCCACTACATTTTACAATAAATTTTAACAAATCAATTGGCCAGGTTGACAAGTAAATGAAGCATAGAGTTTGAATCATCACAATTTATGGAATTTTAAAAACACTTCTACTAAAATACATTCCTACACATAATTATTCCTCATTGCAGGGAGAAAGACATAGGAAACTACTCATATCTCATTGGAAAGAAACAACAACACATGGATTTATAGATAAATAAGAGTTTACAAGACATGACAATGTAAAATAAATAAAGTACACTACTTATCTTAAACTCTTTCCTAAGCAATCCTTCAAATTCCTTTGAATCACTCACTCTCCTTACAATTCACTCTAAACTTTCCAAACTTACTTGGAATCTGTTTACTTGGAATCTGTAGTGAAGAAGATACCTCTCACTTCTCCTCTTCTCCTCCAAAACCACAACAAGCCTTTAAGACTTTCTCCTCTCTAGGAAGAATCCACTTCTCTACAAAAGTCTCCCTTTTCTTCCTCTCAAAAGTCTCTCTTTTGAATCTCCAAAAATCTCTTTAAATAGTGCTCTCAAAATCCCCAACAGTCTCTTCAAATACCTCTTCAAAATTCGTCCAAATTCAATGGATCTTCTAGATAACCGTCGTTAGCGCCTAGGCGTCGTGCTCTTTGTTGTATGGCACCTAGGTGTTTGATCAACATTGGTCTTTTTGCTTATTTGCTTCATTTGACTCCATTGACTCCAATTTGCTCCATTTTTGCTCCATTTACTTCATTTAGTGTACCTACAGCCAAAAACATCAAAAATACATTTCATTAAAGTGCAATATCATTAAAAATAGGCATTAAATGTTCAAATATAAACTTATTTATGACATTAAAAATAAGCATCAAAATCCTTCAAACGTAATTGTTACTTGTTCTCAAGTAACTTATTTCTTCATAAAAATATGTTAACAATTTTTAATATGTGATAGTGGGTTTCATTAAAGACCTCTATAGTTTTGTCTTCAAAATGTGGTAGTCATGACTTTATGAAAATTTTAATAATTTAGGTTAGAAAAAAGAAATAAGAATATTTTGCAATCAAGTCTAGGAATTCTAACTCTTCTACTCATTTCAAAAATTAATTGTAGTTTGAAAAACATAGGAATCTCGTAAAAAAATAAATAGAATTTGAGAGAACTCTACTTGTAAAGGTAAACTAATATTAAAGAAAATAAAAGCTCAAACATTTAATTAAGTCCCTTTCTTTAACATGATTTAAGTGAATCTAATTTTTAATTAGACATCTCGTTCTTTTCTCTTTTTCTTCTTTTCCTTTTTTCACATTTACTTTTCTTTTCTTTCTTTCTTTTTTTTTTCTTTTCCTTTTTACTTTCAGGATCATTTTCAATACTTTCTTTTCTTTTTTGCTTATATGCAACAGTATAATAATGAATTTAATGATTTTTTCCTCTTATGTAATCTTACTTTGCAATATAACCAAAAACTTGATCCTGGAGAAAATAAAAATTTAAAATTTTAATATATATTGGGATACTTTGCAAGTATATATATCGTTATCAAGTAATATATGACTTTTTTATTAAGACCTGAATATCGAACCTATAGGGAAAAAACGAAATATGCAAAAACTTTTTATTTTTAAAAAGACAATTACTTAAACTATATATATTTTCTCAATAAGTAAAATTCAATTTTTTTTGGTATTTTTGATATTTTGACAAAACAATAAAACTTCTAAAGATAACTTAAGTTTATTTAAAAGAAAAGTACTTGATATAAAAATATATTTCTCCTTATCATGAATCAGTAATAAGTATAGGAATTATGTTGTGGAAGTATGCAAATTGTGTTGTGTCAAATAGGAGCAATAATATTTCTTACCCTTACTAGAGAAGCTATAAAGAACATTGACTAATTTAAAGTTTGAATAGTTCTGAAAATCAGCTAGTCAAGGAAGATACCAGCTCTCACTCTAAAGTTCTCTCGATTCCCTCCATCTGGGGACTAACATCTCGTATCAGAACATAAAATAATAAACCAAGTTGGGGCATTTACCCTGTCACTTTAAAGTACTCTAACACTACACCCTTCAATGATTATTTTCCTATTTATTTGCACTCAATCATATGAATTACTTTCTCATTCATGCAACCTCATGTGATTCTTTCCAATTATTGAAAGTGACAATACCAGTCCGGTTCTTATATGTTCTCATAATAAATTTTAACATCTAGATATGTTAAATCAAGAAGTAAATGAAGTACATGGATTTAAAGCATCACAACTTCTTCCAACATTAAAGATCAACACTCTCCACAACTTCCATCCAATACTTTTAATTGCTTATCATTTTAAGGAGAAAGATAAGGAAAAATACTTAGAGTCTATGGAGAAAATAAAACCACACTTTAGTTTAAAAATAGAAATCATTGTCAAACCAACAAGAAGTCTTGATTAAAACCAAAAGTAGTTTAATAACAAAAGATAAAACCTTATCTCAAATCCTCCACAAATTCTTAAAGTTCCTTTGAATCTCTTCTCTTTTACAACATTATTGACTCTCACAATAAAACTAAAAACAAAAAATAATAAAGTAAATTTGTGGTGCTTGAAAATCTCTCCAAAACTCTCACAAGAAGTAAATTTGTGGTGCCTGAAAATATCTCCAAAACTCTCTCCCTTTCCAACACTTTTCAGACCTTTCAAGCACACTTCAAAAAGTCTCAACTTCCTTCTTTTATAAATCTCCAAGAGGTGTCATGATAACTCTTCAAAATGTGTCCCAATTTGATGTATTCTCCAAAGGATGCCTCCTTTCATAAGTCTTTTAATAATATTTTTGTTTCTAGTGGTCATAACCACCCTCTTTAGCCAATAGGTGCCTCAAATGTCCCTTCAAATTTTGGTAAAATGAAGTAAATCGTCACATAACTGCCTCTGGTGCTTAAGC